ATATGTTCAAATATAAGACTTTTCATAAATGAATTGCAAATCCAACAAAGGTTTGATCATTTATCTCATTCATTTTCTACCATACCCATGTTTATACTAACTGTGTTTTTTTTGTAGGAATTGGCAAGTACTTCCTAGTGGACTAAATACCTTTGAGACAAGAAACTTGGGATAGTTATATGATGTTGATTTTGGATAAGAAAACATGTACTTGTAAGGCATGACAGTTGAATGGATATGGTTGTGTTCATTTAGTGGTAACCATTTTTTACGTAAACATAAATGTGCATATGTTTTTTGATCTTTTATATCGTACAAACATATACGTGAACATGCATAAGTACTCAATTGGAAGTATTGATTGGAGTGAAATGTGCCCCCCAACATACTACACATAACCATTTCCACCACTGAAAAGGAAAATGTTAGGGAGACCCCCTATTAAGAGGAAAGGGACAATATATAGGTTAGTAGATCACATAGAGTATCAAAGGTAGGAAAAAGAATTGTATGTGGTGCTTGTAATAAGGTAGTGCACAACAAGTCAAATTCTTATACATAGGCAAGGCCCTCAAAATTACAGGTAAAAAATGAAGGTTCAAGATGCAGGTGGTAGTGGTGTGAAAAATAAGAAGGCTCAAGATGAAGGTAGAAGTGGTTTAAATAAAGAGACGGGTCAAGATGAATGTGGAAGTGGTGTGAAAAATGGAAAAGGTCAAGATGAAGGTGGAAGTGGTGTGAAAAAAGGGTCAAGATGAATGTGGAAGTGGTTTAAAAAGAGGAAGGGTCAACATCAACTTACACTGAAGCTAAGGAAAAATTTAGAGAAGATAATAAAGAAAAAGTTGGCAAAAAGGGTCCAAGGCAAAAATGGTGAAGGAGATAACTTATCCAAACCAATGGACTTCGATTAGGTTTGCTATGGTTATGGAGTATGAGAGTTCTTTATTTATTTATTAGTTATGGATATGTTTAGATGTGTTTGTTTTATGTTGTCATGGTCACACTAGTTACGGTCTTGTTTTATTTGTAATTGTGTGGTTTAAACACAAATTGATAAATAAAGCAATGTAACGACTAAAAATAACATTGTACTTTGAATGGTGACACTTACATACTTTTATTGTTGATAATTACCCACTAAGGGTGTCAATTTATCAAATGACTCAACAAAAATACACGACACGAAATGAAATCGGGACGAAATCAAAATTTGAATTTATGTCTATGTCGTGTTCATGTCAAATTTAAAAAAACATGATGTCGTGTCGTGTTCGTCTTCGTGTTCACAAATTGACACAAAATTGACATGAATGAACATGCGTTTTTCGTGTTTGTCATGTTATATATGACTAAGTATGATTTAAATAAACTAATAGTTATGTAATGTTATCTTTGTTGTTTTGTGTCGTGTTGTTGTGTTTTAATTGGTTCGCTTTTGTGTTAGTGAAAAAAACACGACATCGTGTCGTGTTCGCTTTACACAACATTTTTTCAGACAAAAACATGATACGACTGCTCGATTTGACAACCATATTACCCACTATACACCCAAATAAGCATTTTAGTTTGACTGTTGACCTAAACCTAAGATACACCTAACACTACATCGAAAATAACATTGTACTTTGGTTTGTAATTTGTTTGTTCAAAATTAGGTACCTTCCTAGTGTACTTTCATCTATATATCCAAATACAAAATTTAACATCAAAATATAATAATAAACACAACTCAAGTATACACCTAAAATATCATTGTACTTTAGTTTGTAATTTGTTTGTTAACAAATAGGTACCATATCAATTTACTTTCATCCATCTAAAGACAATCTTTAACATTAAAAGAAAAGCTTAAACACAAATCTACAATTGATGCAAGGAATTCTGATTTGTGTCGTGTTGTTGTGTTTTAATTGGTTCGCTTTTGTGTTAGTGAAAAAAACACAACATCGTGTCGTGTTCGCTTTACACAACATTTTTTCAGACAAAAACATGATACGACTGCTCTATTTGGCAACCATATTACCCACTATACACCCAAATAAGCATTTTAGTTTGACTGTTGACCTAAACCTAAGATACACCTAACACTACATCGAAAATAACATTGTACTTTGGTTTGTAATTTGTTTGTTCAAAATTAGGTACCTTCCTAGTTTACTTTCATCTATATATCCAAATACAAAATTTAACATCAAAATATAATAATAAACACAACTCAAGTATACACCTAAAATATCATTGTACTTTAGTTTGTACTTTCTTTGTTAACAAATAGGTACCATATCAATTTACTTTCATCCATCTAAAGACAATCTTTAACATTAAAAGAAAAGGTTAAACACAAATTTACCATTGATGCAAGGAATTCTGATTTGAAATCCATGTACTAATAAAAAAAATCAAAATATAACATGAAAATGTAGTAGAATACAGTTTCCATTTGATTCCAAACAACATACACGATTCATGGGGTTTTCTACTATCCAAAACCCCCCAAAAAAACAGTTTTAACCCATCAAAATACCATTGTTACTAACAAACTTAAACATATCACGTTATTATTCGATAATGACGACGACTAGAACAAAAACTAACAAAAAACCCCAACAATCCATAACCCAAAAACCCTAAAATCGCCATCATCGACCCACAAATTACATCCACCTAAACGAAATACCCCACAAACAATAGTGGGAACAAGAGTCATACCAATCACTACCATTGCCTTCAAAATGTTCCTCATCACACGAAGCTCGGTCCTCATCACCCCCATTTCCTCTCGCATATGTTGTCCCATCTACTTTAGCTCCACTTGGGTTTCCATTGCGAGCAACTCCTATTTCGTAGTTGGAATATCCAAATTCGACTCGTGAAATCACTATAGGAGAAACTTTGTTCAGACATTGTCTAGAAATGAGCGGGGTTAAAAGCTATTTGGGAACGAAGGAAGAACTTAGAGAGAAACCGATAAGGATAACAAAATGGCAGGGATGAACTAATTAGGGTATCGCTTTCATAATATAATAGGACCATCATGGCTATTCTTGGGGGTCAAGGGTGGGTTGTACTGTGGACCACATTCTACTGCAACTTAAGCAGTGAGTAGGCATCCACCTCACCTGTTTTTTTTTTTTTTTTTGGCAGCGAAACCTTTTATCAAGGGTTAAGGACCATTTCAACCAACCACTTTATACTTCATTCCCTTTTCGCACAAACAAAAAATAGTAGTGTAACCTTTTAATATCAACGTGACAAATAGGCTAATATGATATTTTTCCTAGATATACCTAGGAGAGAGGTGTCTAGAATAGTCACCATTAGTTTGGTTATTGGATTTTCCAAAAGGTTTTATACCAAATGATGCAATACAATTGATTAATTACCAAACTAATCATCCCTCTACTATCTAGCTATTTTTAAAGTTTCTGAGTGATTTATTATTTATAGTTACTTCAGTTTTAATTTTAATAGTTAAAAGTGAAAATGATCGTCACTAGAAATATCACCTCCTCTCCAAAAGGCATGATAAAATATACGTTCTACATCTCTTGGGTAAAAAAAAAAAGTAAATTTACTCGACGGGTCCATTCATAAATAGTTGTCTCAACTATTATAAATATGTTAAATTGTCATGATGACTTAAGCCATTATATGTAGGGGTGTAACTCTTGATCCAATCCGTAACTCGACACTGACTCAACCCAAAAATAGACGGGTTTGGGTTGAGCTTTTTGACCCACCAACCCGTTTATTTCATGGGTTGGATTGGGTTATCTTTTTGTGTTTGCAGGTCAACCTGCCAACCCGTGTATATATATATATATATATATATATATATATATATATATATATATATATATATATATATATATATATATATATATATGGGTAAAGTGAATATACCTAACAACCTTATATAAGCTTAGATACCTAACCACATTATACTACATTGTTTTGCATTATATTTCCATTGCAATCGTCTAAGGTTCTTAAACTTCAACCCTTAACTTGATTTACTTCCAAGATTTTCAAACATTCACCATTATATTCCTCCTACACCATTTGATTTGTAACGGTAGTATATGAAGCCCACCAGGGGGTCTCCGATAGAAATACGTCATTAATGGTGAAACTCCAAAGATTTTGGAAGCAATCAAGTTATGAGGTTGACTTTTAAGAACTTTGGGTGATTACAATGCAAATATGATACAAAATTACGTAATATGATGTGGTTAGGTACCTAAGCTTATATAAGGTTGTTAGGTATATTCACTTTACCCTATATATATATATATATATATATATATATATATATATATATATATATATATATATATATATATATATATATATATATATTACATTTAAAAAATGATATATTTAATTATTAATTAAATTTGATTTCCATCCGTGTTCGTAATATTACATACCATTGTATTCCTTCCGTATTCGTATGTGACTAATTTATATTTGCTGTTCGCTAATTAAAAAAAGAAAAAATACATGTTATTTTCACAAGTCACGAACGAACAATACATCCACTTTCTATGAATGTTTTCATTTTTCATTTTTATGTGTATGTTATCGACTTTATCAATTCTTGAAAATCTTTTTTTTATTTTTTTATTTTTTATGTTAATTACTTTAATCATTTTATAAATTTATATTGAAAAAATCTTATTTTTTAAAATGTGTTATTTATTTATTAAACGAGTTATATGGGTTGGGTTTGACTTTTTAACTTGTGAACTCACGAACCCATATACTTAAACATATACTTAAACGGGTTATATGGATTGGGTTGAAGTTTCCAACCTACCAACCCGTAACCCGCCAACCCAAAACCCAACTCAATTATCAGACCTAATTATACGTGTTAAAAAATATAATTAGAATGCTTTTCGACCCACATAACGTGTTTTTTCCTACTAACTTCTATTTTATTTAGAGATAAACGATAATGCAAATCAACATATTTACATAATAAAATAGTAGAAATTGTCTTCTCTGCCCACATAGTAACAGATCCGGTCTGTTTTTGTGCAGTTTCTCCTAAAACAATACCCAATCTAATACTAAAAAATCAAGCTGAAATAGAACATATAAGTTGATTAAATTGGTAGAATGTCATAGCTTTTGGTTTTGATTTTTTTTAACCAAAAATATCTCAAAAGTGTTTGTTTTTTTTTTTTATTATTACAAATCTTTATAGTTTAAACCCTGCATAACTTAAAGCTCACAAAACCAAAAACTATGACATTGTACCATGGAACACATAAGTTGATTAACTTGTTTATTCCATCATACATCTTGCCTTATCAATACAAACATATCATCATCCGCTCATATCCACACCACCATCAATATCAGTATCAGTGTCAGTATCAGCTTCAGTGACAAGTACAAGTAACAAGAAACAGTGACAAAAACAGTAACAGTAACAGATTACAGTTTATTTGAGTTGTGATGTAGCGGCCTTGTCCAAGAACCATGTGAGCTCTCCTTCGGGTGAGACCTTCTGCACAGGCAACGGATAACCATACAAAGCATGTGGGCCCAACGCCACCTTCACTGCATCAGCTGCATCTTCTCCAGTCACCACCATTGCAATCTCAGAAGCTGAATTAATCAAAGGGAAGGTGAAAGTGATTCTTTCAGAAGGAGGTTTGGGTGAATCCAAGATGAAAGTCACCCATTTCTCCTTCTCAAATCGTTGAAAATGCCAGCAAAAAAGTGATGCAACATGCCCATCTGGACCCATTCCAAGTAACATCAGATCAAATTTTGGAAACCCTGTAATTGCTGATGTTCTTAGGGTTTTATTCGCTACCAAATGTTTAAGCCTCTGCTCATATTCATCTGCTGCTTCTTCAGGTGATAGTCCTTCCTTGATTGGATAGATGTTAGAATCACGTATCGCAACCTAACACAACATTGAAAAGATACAATAACATCTCAATCAAAATTCATAAATCTCTTTCATCTTCTCGAAACCCTAAATGTTATAGTAGAGATTAAAATTACCTTACTGAGAAATCCGTCAACAGCAAGTTTGTGATTGCAATCAGGATGATCTAGAGGAACAACTCGTTCATCAAGGTAGAATATCAACCATTTCGACCAATCTATTGAACTGATATATGGAGGCTCTACTAATTTCCTGTCGAGAATTAAGTTCAAATGAAGCATAGTGCACGATCAATTAACAAACATACTAGGTTCTTATAATCATTCAGCAATCAAAGAGTGAGGTAGTATATTTCAATTGTAGGTTGTATAGTTACCTCATAGTATCGATTAAAGTACCACCGGAGAGTACAACGGAGAAAGAACCATTGGCGGCGATGAATTTAGCAGACAGATCGGCGATATAGTTGGCAAGAGCGACAGCTACTTGCTCCTCCGTCTCAAACTTTAGAACATTGGGTGGCGCCATTTCTTATCGCTGAACAGAGTGAGAGAGGTGACTGAATTGTGAATTTGTGATGGTATCGTTGAATTGCATTTCTGATATGGAATCCTGTTCGCGTCAACACACTCTGCTTTGCACTTTCTGAAGTGCAAAATGTCACTTCGTTTATTTTTGTTTTGTTTTTTTTTTTTTTTTTTTAATTATTAAAATTTCATTTAAAACTTTTTTTATTAAAATTCATTTAAAACGTAATTGGTTGGTTTAATTTTTTTTCTTTGACAAAATTGCAAAATCATCGTGGTGGACGTCTTACCAATTCACTTAAAACGTTGAGAGAGTAACAAACTTTTTGTTTCGTATAAAAATTATATATAAATCTTTTTAAATACAATTTACAAATAAGTTTCTTATTTTTTACATGTAATTCCAACAAAGTTTCTAAATTTTCTTCGTTGTAGAGATATTAACAATTGTAACGATCCAGATTTCCAGTTCCGTCGTTGTAGTTAGTTTTCATTATGGTCATTTGTTGTCGATTATAGAGGTATTACCAATTTATGAAGTCTGCGTACAATCTTTGTAATAAAAGAGATACATCAAACGGTTGCAACCTGTAATAAAAAGTTTGTTCGTTTATTAACATTTGTAGGCTGCTCAATAAATTAAAATTTGAATATACTAATTTTACAAACTGAAAATAGTTTTTTTAACACTGAAATTTTAATAATTCTAGTAAAAAAAGCATTGAAAGAATAATAATAAAAACATTAAAATATATATATATATATATATATATATATATATATATATATATATATATATATATATATAAAATTTCTTAAAAAATAAAAAAGAAGCTACCAATTTTTTTAGAAATAACTAATTTTAAAGAACATAAAAAAAGAAAATTATAGAAAAGATTTAAGAAAATATTGTAAACAATTTCTAAAAAATTCGTAAAAAAATCACCCATACTAAAAAATATACAATCGAAACTGAAAATATTATTAAAAGAAACGGTAAAAAAACAAAGTTTTTTTTCTAAGAAATATCAAGTTATAAAAAATTATGGACTATAAAAAGAAATTATATCAAATCTGTAAATCAAAGTTTTAAAAAAATCATTTTATACTAAAGACAAAAACTACAAGAATGGTCAATGTGGTTAGCTGAAAATTGTCATTTTTGTCCAAAAAAAGGTTTAGACTAACACCAGAAGTCCAAAGTTTTTCGTTTTGTTGCGAGTTTCGTCCATTTTATTTTTAATACTTATAATGTAAGTCCCCAATTCGTTTGACGTATCAATCATATCCGACTGATGGTGCAGAATCTCAATCAATCAGATGTTGCTAGATCAAAATAAGAAGAATGAGAAGAAGAATAAGATAAATCTAATGTATTGATGATATGAATGAAGATCCTTACAAGAGATTCACATACTCTCTTATTCTCTCTAGTTTCTCTCTCTCTATCACACATTGAGTTTCACACACTTAAGCTCCTTTCCTAGTCGTACACTCCTCACCCACCTAACATCTATTTATATGGAACATGTGCCGTGAACCAGTTCACGGCCGTAAACACCCACCTAGGCCGTGAACACAACCGCAAATACATATTACATGACTTAAAACTCAATTGCCTAGAAAAGTAAAGTATAAACCATATTTTTGACCCAACAATCTCCCCATTGGTTTATAGTTTTCTTTTCTATTTGACCCAACAAACTCCCCTTAAAATGTAGCTGGCTTTTCTTGTCAATCTTCATTTGGAGCTTGGCTTCAGCCTTTGTTTGGTTTTTAAAATTTTTAATTCTCCCCCTTAAATTCGTGCATAGGGAAAAACATGTACAAATTTAACAAAAACAAAAACAAAAGCTAAATTTAAGACTATTTTGGGATCAAAGTTGTCAGGCAATTCAATCTCGGTTATTACCACACGCCTGCATGTCTAGATCTGGTCAATCACCGATATTGTGGTCCACTTAAACACAAAGCATGTTGACAAATTGGATAGATTATAAGTGACAAGTCATTTGTGCCAATATTCTTAAATGGACCATTTAGCTAACGACGAGCAAGAATATTATTGTCCACTTAAATCAAGCAGCGAGATCTACAGATAACCTTTTAAATTGTTCAATTTTAGATGTACTAGAACGTGTTTCCTACTCCCCGACATACTCCGGTAATCAAGAACTTCCAAAGAACTCTTTACTTTAGGTGAGTATTCAATCATTAAGAAAGAAGTCGGATATAGAAGTGTATATGTTGTATCCCAGATCGGATGTCTTCCAATCACATAGAGGGAACAACATATGACTAACATAGATAGAGGGTTATAGATAATAGAGTGCATATGTTGTGTCCTAATTTGGATCTTTCGATCACTCAGTTGGGACAACATATAGCTAACAGATAGAAAGAATTGCATATAGAAGAGGACATGCATAGAGATAGAGTTGCATATGTTGCATTCTAGGTCGGATATATTCCAATCATCAAATGAAGCAACATATAACTAACAGATAGAAAGAAAGAAAATAATTTCCTACAAACCTACTTTATCAGAACCCCTCAGTCGCCTTATCAGTACTGGAATTAAGGTTATGAGTCCATACATCAAGGAAATGTTGACCCACAGTTCTAGATAATTAACTTTTAGTGTATCTCGCAGGTTCGCATGTTTATCTCACTGCTCAATCTACCCGAGCGTTGTATAGTCAATCCAAATGAAACTATCTAAGTTCATATTGTCTAGTCCTTTCATATGTCAATCAATGTCTAGTTCTTTGAATCCTTTGTGTCTACCAACACATTGAACACAGAGTCTAGAAAACTTGGCTTTAGTGCATTACACGCATCATAAATTCCCCTTTAGCACTAGACTTCATATCACTTCCCAATTAACAAAACTAACGAAAGACTATAAGAAAATAAAAGATTGCCTTTAAAATGAATCAATGTAAGAAAAACAGAGTAGAATCGAGAAGAAAACTCAAACCGTAAGTCACCGATTGAATTTGCATCCAGAAGGTCTGAGAACAACACGCATAATCTCAGAACATATCCGAAAATTCTTCACATCGTTAAGCAAAAACCCATGTGTGATCCTCTCCTTTCTTCCTTTATTTCCTTTCCCGTAGAAGGACACATACTCTCAAACAAAGGTCTGAATATTGTACAGTTGAGAGATGTCCCCTATCATGTGCTTGGAACAACCAATACCAACAAATCGAAGTCTGATGATATGCCTCCATAGCTGCTCCAACATAGAGTGGGATCAGTTGGTCTTTGGAACCCAGTGCATTTTGAAACTAGGTCGACCTTTGTCATCCTTGCACGGTACACTCTCCCATGACATATCCTGTTTAACACAAACAGAAGATGAAGAAATATTGGAGTCATTAGGTGATTTGGGAGAGTGAACCTTCGAAACCCATCTATAGTTGGGTTTAACCCATTTCTTGTTGGATCGGATGGGTGGATCAGTACTTGCTTTTGAACTTGAAGTTGGCCATCGAGATGGATTTGACCTAATCGGTCTTGGCTTCACAGGAGCATCTCTTGAGTTTGGCCTATTGGCCGACATTCCCTTCTTGTTTTTTGGAGTTTATTTCTTGGACTTGTATGCATTCCAGTTGCCATTATCTAAACGTGACCTTGAGGGGTTTCTTTTGGAAAATCTCCCTCTTGGTGCATTCGGCCATCCTTGTGTGTGGTAGGAAACGTATGTGCGATTTGGACAGTTTCAGGCAATATGTACAGGTGTTCCACAATGAAAACATGTCTTTTTATTCATATAGGAATTGTTTCTTCCTGCCCCTTGTGGTGTGACCTTGCCTCGTCTCTGATTGTTCCCACAAGCACAGTTGCAGCAGGCAGTCTGATTTGCTTGTTTTGGTGGCCTGTATTTACCAACAGCATGTTGATTAGAAGCAAGTGAGTTAGAAGCAACAAATTCAGAGTTCAAGGAGCCATTTGTTTGTTCAATAGTGTTCTTCTTGTTCTCATCTTCCGCTACTTTACCTGCACAGGAAGTAGAAACATCAATATTCTTCACCTCAACACCCTCAGTTGGCCCAGATTTCTTAACTAAAACTGGTGCAGGTTCAGGGAGTGGACCAAACTGAGCAAGTGTCTCTTCCTTGTTGGTCTCAAGGGGTGGGTTATAGTTGTCATTGAAAGGAGGTGGTGCACTATGATACCCGAGACCCTTAATTTGTTATCTTTAAATTTCAAACAATTGTCAATCATAGACACAACTACCTCACTTGACACATCAAATTTCTTAAAGTTGAATTCAACATCTTTATCTTTGGCTTTTAATGCATCAAGTTCGGTAGTCACAGTGGCAAGGTCAAACTTGAAAGTCAAAGTCAAAATTTAAGGTCAAAAGTCAAAAATAAAAGTAAAAATTAAAAACTAAAATTTTTGGAAGAAAATGGAATTTAAAATAAAAGAAATTGAATTTTGGGCTAAAAGTGTAAAAAATGTGAAATTGGAACGAAACAAAGACACCTTTTGAATTAAATCAGGAATGTTTATATCGTCTAGCAAGCTAGATCAGTTGGAAAGGCGCCTGGATGATGAATCAGGGGACCTGGGTTCGATCCCTGGCAACCCCCAAAATTGTTTCCTTCCTTCTTTTTGAAGTGTACGCTGGCCGAGAACGATGCGAAGGCCGTGAACGTGCGAGGACCGTGAACTCCGAGGGTCACAAACGAGTTGGGCCGTGAAAGCTGCTTCGGGTCGTGAACACTGCTTAGGATCGCGAAAAAAACGACGTTTTTCACCCTTTTTTCTCCAAAACTCAATCCAAAACTCGTTTTTAGGAAAAACTCAAAGAACACCCCCCCCCCCTTCTTATTTTTCAAAAATTTATCTGAAAACGCAAAAATCCTTCAAAAATAAGATAAAAAATGCTCCAGATCTGGCCAAATTTATTGATACATTCCAAGCTCTGATACCAAATGTAAGTCCCCAGTTCGCTTGACGTATCAATCAGATCCGACTGATGGTGCGGAATCCCAATCAATCGAATGTTGCCAGATCAAAATAAGAAGAAGGAGAAGAAGAATAATAAGATGAATCTAATGTATTTTTGATATGAATGAAGATCCTTACAAGAGATTCACACACA